TTGACAATTTAAAAAAAAATTTTTTAGCAAGAAAATAAAATTTCTGAGAATTCTTTTTAGAATTGTAATTATTCTATTGAGATAAAAAAAAAGTATAAAAATATTTAAGAAACTACTTAAGGTTTTTATGGACTCTGAATCTCTGAATTCAAAACATCATAAATTTAAACTTCAAATGTAAAAAATTCTGATGGTATGTTACTATTATTTTTCTCAACCTTTTTAATACCGGAAATTTTTTAGTAAAGCAATTACTTCTGCTTATTTATAGTTTTTATTATTATAAAGAAAAATTTAATTGATAAGTATTTTCTATCTATTTAAATCTCACTTTACAAACAATAAATAAGACGTGACTCACGTTAGTAATTTTTTACTATCAGGTAATTTTTATAAAAGAGAGGAAAAGGACATTACATTTATGACCTTTCGCTTAGAGATAAATTTTTTTTCAGCAAATTTGTTCTGCAAATATTGCATAAGCTGAGGTTTTTTTATCATATCATTCAAAAATTTCTCCAAGAACTTCAAACTAAACAATAAAGAATTTAAAAAAAAATACATATAATTATTTCAAATTCTCGGAATGCACTTCTCAAACTTTTACTCCAAATAACTAAAAAATTGATATTTATCCTTTTTAAAGAGCTTGTAGATATTAAAAAAATGTGTTTTTAATTAATTAATAGTGTATGCCTTAAAAAAATTCCAGTGTTGCATTTTACTAAAACTTAATCTTCTTAACAGATCAAATTAATTAAACAAGTAAAGTAGGTATTTTTTTGTGCACAATTCATTTATTTAAATCTAACGCTGATTAAAAACATAAAAGGCTACTCTTTTTCTCAAACACTTATAGGGTAATGAGCGACTTAATTATCCTTATTAATATAAGCTATCATTATTATCGTTACTATGACTCCGATTAATATTAATTAAAATTTTTGTTATTATTAAAATTTACTTCAAATTGTTTTTAATAATCTCTGTTGTAATAACCTTAACTAACATTTTGAAAATAAAAAAAAATAATTAAAATGTTCTTATGATTCTTAAATAAAAATTTTTTATAAAAAAAAAATTGTCAGATATCCAATTAGTTATTTTTTAATCAAAAAGATATTATTAAACAAAAAAAAGTACATAAAAATCTTTACATACAATTTTTTCAACAATTCCATTAAGGAAATCCTTTCGCTCCAGTTGAGTCAAAACAATTGTAGTAATCAATATACGATAAATTAAAAAAAGAAACCCATAAAAATTCCTAAAATTAAATAATAAATAATATATGAGGCATTAATCGTTGAAATTTTGAAAATAAAAAAATAAAAATAGTTAAATACAAAAATTAATTTGACTCTTTCAAATCAACTGCTAGTAACCTGTCCGTGATTTGGCAACGCTGTACTTCGGTTGTTTACATTTTCATTTGCACAATATAACCTTAACCACGTTTAAGTTTTTGCAGTCAGTGTAAATAAATAAATTAGTTTGAATTTATTGAATGGTCTGAAGCTCGCGCGCTACGTAACGTTGCCAAATGTTTTGACTCCATTTTAACGTAGGTTACTTGAGAATTTTTTGTGATTTTTAAATATTAATTTCTCAATAAATATCTCGGTAACTGATATATTTTATTGCAAAAAAAGAAACCTGAATATTTCGAAAATCTAATTTTTAGTTTTTTTTTACTTCATTTAATCCATGACTGATAGTATAATTCGAGAAATACTGCAAACGTTTGACTTTCTCGTAAGACTCTGAACAAATACTAACATTTAAAAATTTTATTTTTTCAAAAATTTGTCCGGTAAAGTATAATTTAAACCTCACTATTAAATAAATAAGGACCTTAACTATTAGAAAAAAATTGAATTTACTCATAATCTAATATTTTTTATTTTACATTGGCGGCGAAAGGACCTCCTTAAAAATTTACCTACACCTGCTACTTTCACCTAAATCCAATTTTTTCTCCCTAAAACTTCAATAAATTTTTTTCATTCTCATACCGTTAGCCTACAACTAAATCTTTCTCCAAAATTCTTAAAGTATATCAAATCAAAATGGACCCGAAAAATGAACAAAACAATTATTCTAAAAATTATAAATACAAAAACGAAAGAAGGAAACTTGTTGTCTCCACTCCCTTTTGAAGTACTCCCCGTATCCACAAGACCTTCGACTATTTTTACGATTGACAAGCCGGCGACTTGCGTCGCATTCCATTGCTTTGTCGCGTACCTTTTTTATTCTTTCTTTTCTTCATTTTTTTCTCTCCGATACAAGTAGTGAAGATATGGAGAGGATAACCGTATAATAACAATATACGGTACAGCACACGGCACACTGTTGGATAGATGAGTGTACCTACATGTACAGTGCAGACTGAACACTAAAATAGTGGTTTTGTCATGTCACGAGACAAACAGAAGCTTTGGAGATCATTTGTCAAATTTTAATAGTCTAGTTAAACAATAATAATTAATTATTCATAGTCAGTAATAAATAAATAAATAAAATAAAAAGTTTAAATTTATGTTCAGAAAAATTTTGGAGTTAAAATAAAAAAACCAGAATTTTTTTCTTGGAGTTGGTGACGGGCAATAAATATAAACGCCAAGCAAGGAACTTTGGCATCTAAACGTCAAACATTTATAATTTTTTGTTTACAGTAAAATTGATCTGAAAGTGAAAAACGCTCACCTCGTTAACAGCAGCATAAACCTCGCCGAAGACGAGAGCGCACGCAACAATCCAGTATATCCTCGGACGCATTTTTTAAAACAAAACTATAACTGATAACTGATACTTGAACGTCCGTTCTCACGGGGCTCCACCAGAGCCCGGCTACTGAAATCACTGGATTTATTTTTACTATTGTAATTTTTTATTGCTACAATAATAATAATAAGAATATTATTATTTTTTACTGTTGTTACTAATAATTTATTTAATAATAATAACCAACGTGTAAACGTTGGATTATTGGACACTAAAAAAACTCCTAACAGGAGCAACAATCTAACACACACCACACTGATCGATGAACCAAGAGACACTGAGGGCGCGACAATCGACGGTTTCTTTTCTCTTTTCACAAGATCATTCCACGAGCATTCACGAGTCCCAGCGCCTTTTTTTTTATTTTATTTCAAACGCATTCGGGCGGCCATTTTGAAAAATGCGCGCGCTCTAGTGGAATAATTCTAGCGCGGGAAATTTTAAACTTTGAGGATTGTTTTTTAATATTTGAATAAATTTTGATTATAATACTAAAGTTAGTCGACATTTTTAATTTTTTAATTATTTTTTATTTATTAAATGAAAACTAAAAAATATTTTTAAAAAATTGCACTGATAGTTTTTCGAGTTTTTTTTAAAAGTGAAATTTTTTTTTCTTTTTTTTTGTAATAATTTTTCAATAAAAAAATTTCTAAAAGTTTTTAGATGTCGGCTAACTTTATTTTCATATTTTGATTTATTTTTATTAAAAAAATGGAAAATTTTTCATTTTTGTCGCTTGTAAGTTAGGCAATAAATTTTTATTATTATAAATTAGGCACCGGATAATTTTTTTTTTAAATAAATAAATATGAAACTGAAATGAGAAGGCATCTGAAAGTTTTTTCAAAAAGTTCATTATAAAAAATAACAATTTTTTTTATAATTTGGACTTATGACTGTTTTAAATTGCTACATGAAGAATTTCTTGATTTATTTTTTTTTTAATAATTTTTATAAAAATTAAAAGAATTGTTAAATATCTGCCAAGATCAGTTTCATTAAATAAATGACTATTAAAGAAATATTTTTAAAAATTACATCAAGAATTTTTTTTAATTCTATACCAGTGAAAATCTTTTTATTTTCTTTATAATAATTTTTTCATTTTAAAAAGCTTAAAAATTATCAGACATCTGATAATTTTGGTACTTTTATTTTTGGATATTTTTTTTACTCTTAATTTTTTGCGTCAAAAAAAAACCTATAATATTTGAAAAATTTTTTATGTATTCATTCCTTGATATATAATAATGTTTTGTTTGAATTTATTAATTTTTCATCAGTTTATATTTATGTTACTGCAGACTTGCAATTAAAATTTTACAAACTTTAATAATGAATAATTCAAAGCTTCGATAACTTTATATTTTACAGTGCGTTTTCTACTTTCATGGATAAGATTTATTTAGTTATGACATATGTGTAGTATATAAATAGGATTATTTTTTTTAAAGCTTGAATTACAAGTTTCTTATGAAAGCAAACATTCAAATTTTATATTTTCTTTATTATACATCATTTAAGTTGTAATAAAATTAAATGAACTTAGAATATGCCTGATAATATAATTTATCTTTCTGTTAATTTAAAAATAAAATGATTGCTCAATTTAAATAAATTAATCAATGAAATGAAAAAGTCTGTTGTATGTGAAACAATAATTATACAAAATTAATAATCTGATAACTTTTATGAATTTATAATTAAATTTGATTTTAAAAAGTAATTGTATACAAATGCTATAAAAAAATTTTACATAACTTTTTTTCGTTGATTTAATATTTATTTTATTCACTAAAAAAAATATATATATGGTCTATTGTCTTTAGTATCATTTAAAGTTTTGATATCTGAGTGTAAGAATTTGATTATATAATTTATCAAATATTTATCGAAAGAAATTAAAACCTTCAATATTCAACTAAATAATAAGTTTAATCATTAAAGATAAGAGGTAAAAAAGTAATAAAATACTTGATAACAATTAAATTGATAGAAAGAAAATTTATTTGAAAACTTTACACAAAGCATAAAAAAAGTGATCTACTAATCTAATTAGGCCACTAAATTACAAGCATGTATATCTTTCCCTTAAGTATAACAACATTTTTCAATTGATGTATCGCGAATCGAGTTATTGTTAATCTTAAGTTTTTTTTATTTATTTAATAAGTATTTTTGTTTGATGAGTAAGACAACAACTTAGGTCTTTACTTTTTGTCCATGGTCTGGATTCGTGACTTATGGCGAGTGATGGCTTCTTGATGACGTTTTATTTGTTCCTCATGGAATGAGATTTCATCATGTAACTCGTCGCGTAATTTAGCCAATTGATCTTTCGACTGGAAAGTTATAAACATTATTAGTATTCAATCAATTACTACTCAGACTACTAAATACAATATTACATATTTTACTTTAAATCATATTTAAAAACTCAAACTGTTGATAAATATCAAAATTTCTGAGACTAAAATAGAACCCTAAAATTAGAAAATTTATCAGAACAGTGTATATATACAATAGCAATGAGTCAAATGTCCTGACTAACTATTATTATTTATACAAATGTCAGTAACAAATAATGTTTCAGTTTGTTGTGCAATTACTCGAACCAGTCTTTTTATTTATATAATAAAATCAATACTTAAAAACCTAAAAAAGAAATGATACAGAAATTAGAAGACGTTTGACTTCTTTTTAGTTTTACTTAACAAACAAATTATTTTGTAACAAAAATTACGTTCTCACTGACAGTGGAGTGGTCAGTGGACACGTAATTCTGTCCAGGTTGCCCAATAAAAAAATAAACAAACAAAAAAAACGACTTGGGAGGGAACTCTTCTCCTCTCAAGCAACCAGCAGCTCTTCCTCAGGCTGGGTTAGTACACGATCTTCTTTTGGACGCCAGTTGTTCTTTCACTGAGGGAAACAACAAACCCTTTATTTCCAGGCCCGATCTGCAGATATTCAAGGGATAGATAACTAGTCTACGAATATTAGAAAAGAAAGGAGAAAGTAACTTACGTAAAATTAAAATATTAATGAATCACGTTCTTAATAATCAGTCGCAATATTAATAAAAAATAAGCTATTTATTCAAAACACAAAATACTTAAAACTAAGTCCAGAGCCGAGTTCCTTTGCCGGTTGGACTAATAATAACAATAATAATAAATTTGCCGCGTACAATTATTAATAATTAATATAAATCCTGAGTATATTATTTAATTACGACGACGCTGGTTATATATTAGAAATTGTATCTAAATATCATTGAAGTGAGATATACCCGAAATCCCCAGTCGGGTTATCTCGACAAAACAAAATAAATAAATAATACTGACTCGATTAATTAGTACCGACTTTTATGCTAATTTATTTGCCGGGAGACAACACGGTGCGTGGTTAATAAAATGGCTCAACTTGTGAGTACTCACCAAAAAAAAGGGAACTCGAACAAAGGTGCCAGATCCACACTCTTACACTTTGCGGGTTGCCGCGTGTCTCCCGATTTTTATTTTCTCAAAAACTCCGAGACCTCGTGTTCGATCACGAGGGCCTCTCACGTCGTTTTCCAAAATTACTGGTCCCTGTGCTCGCAATCGATATTCTAGGGAATTACCCGTGCAAGCAAGGGCTACGACTCATTACCAATAATTAATATACAATGAATAATAAGATCATAAATATTAAAATACAAAATTCCTGAAATAAATGCCAAATTATTACTTAAGAAATGATGATAATAATACATAAATTATCAAATATAAATACCAATAAATGATATATAATAAATAAATTAATATAACAATAGTTAAATTTTAGAAACACTGAGAGTAGATCTGTTGCCAACTCTAGGCGCAGAGAGGGTCGCATACACGAATAAAATTCGTGTGACAATTTATAGGAATTAATTTTAAAAAATTTAATCCATAGATTTTTAAAATTTTTAGATGTAAAAAATTTTCTTCGTGATTATTAAAAAAAAACATAAAAATGATCTAATGTCTCTCTGATTCAGTGTCTTAAAAATAATTTCTTAAACAAACAGAAGTACAATTTACCTGGTTGTAAAAATATTGATCTTCATTAGCAGCTTCCATTTTACCAAAGGAACCACCAGCTTCACGAATACTACCGCCACCACCGCCTCCTTTTCCAGCACCAGAACCACGTTCTCCAACCATTCGTACTTGGCTGTAAATAATAAAAACAATCATTTAAATACGAAAAGAAACTAATATAAAAAAGAAGTACTGTCAACTGGTTGTCAAATTAATGCTAATATTTTATAATACTAAAGTTAGCCGACGTTAATTTTTTTTTAATAATTAAATTAGAACAAAAAAATATTTTCTAAAAATTGCACTTGCAGTTTTTAAATTTTTTTACAAATTAAAATTTTTTATTTTTTTGTAATCATTATTTTTAATGAAAAAAAAACTTAAACATTTTTAAATGTCGGCTAACTTAATTTTCATAAATATTTTATGAAAATTAAGTTAGCTTACATCTAAAAATTTTTATAAATTTTTTTATTGACAAAAATTATTACAAAAAAACTAAAAAAAAAAATTTCATTTGTAAAAAATTTGAAAAACGCTGAGTGCAATTAAAAAAAAAAATATTTTGTAATTCTAATTTAATAAATGAAGTAAAAATAAAAAATGTCGGCTAAATTTATTGTTCTAATATTTCATGACATTAAAGTTAGCTGCCACTTCATAATTTTTTAATTTTTTTTAACGAACAAATTTGTAAAAAAAATTATTTAAAAAAATTGCATTTTTAATTTTTTTAAATTTCTACATGTCAATTTTTTTTCTCATTATTTTTGCCACAATTTATTTGTAAAAAAAATTATTAAATATCTGCTAAATTTATTTTGATTAATATTTCACACAAAAAACCAGAAAATAAATCTATTTAAAACTCAATATTTATCTAGACTATACTCAAATATTACATAATTGTCTGGTAATTTTTTACACCGAAATTTTTACCTGATTTACTGTCTACGCCCAATCAATTGAAAGTACTTTAATCAACTGACAATCACAATAGTATTTATAAGAAAACTCTTTGTTAATCATGAGTATAAATAAAATCAATTTGATTGGAAGTAGAAATAAACAATTGTTTGCCGGTAGATTGACTTTATACAAAAAAAGACGATGACCGCTTGCAATAATATGTTTATCTTGTAAAAGTGTATTATTAATAAATATATTTATGTAGTTTTTCATACCTTAATGAAGCCATTGTACGTGAGCTAATCAGTAGAGCACGCTGCATTTTTTACTTTAATTTATTTCAAAAAATTTTGTTCTGGATCTGCAATTAGCAATATGATAATTTTCAATAGAATATTATGAATATATCTACGCAGTACGCAATAACCTGTGACATGTTATTTTTATAGAACGACCACACAATTAATGAAACAGTTTACTAGTATGTCGACTGCGAAAATATTTCAAATTTTCGGCGCTAGATGTCAGGTAGTTCCGGTAAAAATATTTTCATTTATTTTTGTCTTAGAAAAATTAAGAAGAACATTTAATTAATTATTAATTGCTTCAAAGTTAAAAATTTTCTAAATTGATTTTTATTTTTAGTTCTTATGATTTTTATTGAGCGTCAATACTTAGCCCGTGTCTGAGAAAAAACTTCCGAGAAAACAATGGGCGCCATCTTGTGGAGACAGAAGCTCATAACCAGTTCAGCGTTCAGCAGAGCACAAGATAAGACGTACTATCGTTCGCGACAGGAGAATCTAATTCTTTATGAAACTTTGCTTCGGTTTGAATGAGTTTTAGGATATTTAAAATACTAGGACAGTTTATTAATTAGTGAATAAATAAATTAAAGAAAAATATTGAAATAAAAAATTAATGACATTAAAATTGGCAGTCACTTGATAAGTTTTCAATTTTATTTAATAAGTAAATTTGCTCTGAAAAATTATTTCTAAAATATTGCATTTTTTATTTATTCAATTTTCTAAATGTTAATTTTTTTTTCTCATTTTTTTTTGACATAATTTAATTGTTTAAAAAATTGTTAAACTTATAAAATATCTGCTAACTTAATTTTCATCAAAAATAAACAACTTCTAAGAAGTCTGGTGACAATTGATATAAGATGAACGATTGTCACTATTGTTAATAATGAAAATAAATTTAGCAGATGTTCAATAATTAAATAATTTTTTTTTAACAAATAAATTATGGCAAAAAAATTGACATGTAGAAATTTAAACAAATAAAAAATGCAATTTTTTAAAAATTATTTTTTGGAACAAATTTGTTTGTTAAAAAAAATAAAAAAATTCTCTAATGACTGCTAACTTTAATGTCATGTTATTATACTATGACTATAGCATAAAAATTAAATTAGCCGACATCTAAAAATTTTTTAAATCTTTTTATTGAAAAAAATTAAAAAAAAAAATTTTAGATTCAATTTTTTTACTGACTCATAATTTTTATTGATTAAAAAAAATCGAAAATTGTTAAATGTCTGCTAAATTTAGTGTTATGACTGTTGTGTATTATAATTTTTTTTACGACTTCAAAATATTTTTTTATTTTTAACTCTGTTTTTAAGTGACTAATTAGAATATTACATGCGTTTAAATTCCTATTTTTTTTTAAATATAATTATTTAAGCGGCAAAAAAAAACATCATACGATTTTTAGATGTCTGCTGGATCAAAAATTTTAGTATGTATTCTTTTTTTTTTCTTTTTTTAATATGAAAATTCATAAAATATTTAAACTAAAAATTTTATTATTTTTCAGATGTGATTACGAGTGAATAATAATTATTTTGTGGTGATAATTGTGAAATATGATCCTGTTTCTGGTGCCTTCATGATCCGGTAGCAGTCCATCATCTGGCGTCGTCCGGTAGAGAAATAGCAGTTAAGTGATCTTGGTTGGCAGTCAAAAAAATGACACTGAAATAAACAAACATCTAACAAGCTCTAGGAATTTTTTTTGTCGAGATAAACTAGCAGAAATAACATTATCTTAAATTAAGAACGAACAAAATATCAGTTCGAAACATTATCAGTTTTTAATTAATATTGTACCATCAATAGTAAGTCAATTGCTCAAAGAAAAGATTAATTTCGTCAGGTGTATGTTGATTTCAGTATCATTTGAAAAATGAAAACCCTTCTGCGTATTATTTCTCTGCCGAGGTTTGTTAATACTTTATTTACATTATAAATTTTCAAAGAGGCATGGATAAATTTATTATTTCCCAAGATATTGTTTTGGAAAAAAAATTAGGGTTTATTTATCATCATCTTTGTCATTAAGACCATTTCTGGTAGACGCGTTCGACTAGATTTTTCAGAATATAAAAAGTCAATAACGTTCTCGATATATGACCGGTTTTGTTTAACTCAGTCACTTGTACACGTAAAATGTAAGGATAGAACGATAAGACCAGATTTTGTCGTCTTTAACTTTTCCTATTAATATAAAATGAAGAAATTTTTATGGATTTGGAAAAAATCAGAAAAGTTAGAAACTTATCAGAGAATTTAAATAACTTTATCTCCGTGCAAAAAAAATTCTGATTAAAAATGAATTTAAGATTGAAATTCATATTTTGACAAAAATATGAATTAGTTTCGAGATCAATCCAAATTTGAAATTGATTTGTAGATAGAAATTAGCACATCTGTAAAACTTTAAATCCTGCTTCAGAATTTTAATAAAGACTTAGAAATATTTAGGATTAATTTTATGACACAGAAGTTTGCAGACATCTAAAAATCTTTTTGATTCTTTTTATTAATTAAATTACAACTAAAAAGATATTTATAAAAAATTGCACTTATAGTTTTTCAAGTTTTGTACAAGTGAAATTTTTTTTGTTAATTCTCTAAATAGAAATTTTTTTAATAAAGAATTTATAAAAATTTTGAAATGTCGGCTAACTTCATATTCATTTAATTTTATATATAAAATATTCTTAAGTCATTATTAAAATTCTGGAGCAGGATCAAAAGTTCTACAGAAGTGCTAATTTCTATCTACAAATCAATTTCAAATTTGGATTAATCTCAAAACTAATTCATATTTGTGTTAAAATATGAATTTCAATCTTAAATTCATTTTGAATCAGAATTTCTTTTGCACAGGTCGTTTCACTATGTCGGTTAGATCCAAAAAAGTTATTAAAAATTTCAACGAACCAAAAAATTTAGCGTCGCTGATATTTTGTCTTTCTTCTTCAACGAAACTTAATTCCTGATTTCAATAATCACTTTCACCATAACTATTATCATTATAAACTTACTAATTATCAATTTTCAAAAAACAATCAATAATTGGTATAATAAAATTTATTTTTTCAACAACATTTATAAGCACAGATTAGCCAATCTTTTAAATAAACACCCGATTTTTCTATCATACATGTCATTACTCTTTATTCTTACATAATATTTAATATATAATATATCATCTCACAAAATGAACTAATGTGTAATATGAGTACGCGGATTTGAAAAATAAAAAAATTCAGTGGCGAGCTCGGGTAACCAGATTGAATAACTCGTTCTCAGTCACCCTAGGGTAACTGAGTCGGGCGTTAGTTGTCTTCTCGTCGATACATTTTTATGTCATTCGGTCTTTTTTATAATTCTACAATAATTTTTACAAATACTTTTAAAAAAAAAAACGTCAAGAGAATTCTAAAATAATTATTCGTGCAGTTTGGAAATTTTTATCACCCTGTATCTTCGTCAGAATAAATTGATAACATGGGTCGTGATCCAGAAAACATAATCTCATTTGCTAATTATCCATGTATTACATGAATTTCTATTTAATCAATTACTTAGTGAAATTGTTTAAAATAAGTTGTGAAAGTTTTAAGAAGTGTTTTATTTTTCAACATTTTCAAGGTAATTATTAATTAATAATTATTTATAAAACTTTCTGCTATACAATAAGAAAAGTCAAAGCTATTAATAAATAGTTTATTGAGTAATGTGTTACCTACATTGTTATCTTAATGAGAAATAATAATAATGATTATATTAATCCTAATGACAGACACAGAAGATTCTTTATACACACAATCAACAGATTGCAGCATAAATTTACGATTATGTGCACTTTTCAATAAGTGAACTCATTATTCTTCTAATATGAGTGCAAATATCTTACATACCTATTAACTAGTTCATTAGATAAACATTTCATCGAGACGTATTTGATCACTTCAAGTTGAGAGTTTAATACTTTTACATTTGCATTTTCTGAAATTTTTTGTAAAATAGTTGTAACTAATTTATTGTATTTTCTTTGAAGATGCAACCACGGTGTAGACAAAGTGTAAATGAAACTGCGCTGTGTTCGCCGACGAATTTAACGTTATCGTGGAGGAATATTTGTTATAAAGTTAAGGTAAAAAAAAATGACAGTTACGTGATGGATTTTTTCAAAGGTCGGCGAATGGAGAACATCAGTATATTGAATGGAGTCAATGGTATTGTCAAATCTGGCACTCTGATGGCAATTCTAGGATCTAGGTATCAGATAATTGACTTGTTTTTTTGGTAAATTCATTTTTAATTCTTTTTTATATTTCTAATTTTTAGTGGAGCGGGTAAGACTTCTTTGTTAGCTACGATAAGCAGGAGAATAAAAAAAAGAACGACAGGGGACATTTTATTGAATGGAAAATTGTTTACTCGTGAATTAATGGCGAAAATTAGTGGTTTTGTACCTCAGGAAGATCTAGCTGTTAAATCACTTACTGTACAAGAACATATGGAATTTATGGTAAATCACACTGACAAAAAAATTTACTTGATTTGAGAGAAAAAATTTTGAACTACACAGAAAAAATTTATTTAAATCTAGTAAATAATTTTGAAGAATTTCATCTTTTTGATTTGAGTAAAAAAATTCTCAAACTAAGAAATTAAGTAAATTTTACTTGATTTAAAAATTTTTCTCTTGATTCAAATTAATTTTTTTTTTTTTTTTCAGTGTAATAGTATCATTTTGAATTATTTTTTAGTTCAATAATTTCTCTGCTTGATTCAAGACAATGAAATTCTTCAAAATTATATTTTGATACAAGATTTTTTCTCTTGAATCAAATGAATTTTTTATATCTTCAATGTAATGTAACAATGTTTTGTACACCTTAAATTTTAAGCATAAATAAAAGGATTAATCAAGCAGAGAATTTAATTTTGAGAAAAAGTATGACCGGAATATAAAAGAAAAATATTGTCTAAAAATGATATTTAACAGTTTTGAAATTTAATTAAATAATTTTAATCCAATCGAAAAAACAGGCTAAAATGAAAATAGACAGTCGTTACCGTCGAGTAGCTCGGAGTCAAAAAATCGACGTGCTGCTTCTAGATCTAGGATTAATCGAACTCAAAAACTCAAAATTGTCAACTCTGTCAAACGGCGAGTGGAAAAGAGTATCTCTAGCTGTTCAACTCTTGACAGAACCAAAAATTTTATTCTGCGACGAACCAACTACTGGATTAGACAGTTATTCAGCAACAGTGGTCATAGATGCGCTAAAAAAAATTGCAGTTAAAGGCAGAATTGTTATTTGTTCCCTCCATCAGCCTGCTTCTGGCTTACTGGATCATTTTCACAAAATTTACCTCCTTGCTGCAGGTAATTTAGCTTTTCAAGGAAGTCTTTCTGAAGCTACGGCATTTTTCTCAAGGTATTTTCCAGAAAACTTCGATTATAATTTCCTATTGTTGAATTTTTTATTTAATATTACTTATAGTTTAGGTTACAATTGTCCATCAATTTATAGTCACGCTGAGTTTTTTGTGTCACTATTATCTATTACTAAAGGAAATGAAGATGAATGTTTCAAAAAAATAACTAGAATATGTGAGGAGTTCAAAAAATCTGCATACGGAAAAAAAATGACCACTTCTATTGAAGAATCTTATGCCGGAACTTCAGTAGATATTGATGATGGAGATGGCAAAGACATTCCGCATCCGATATTTGCTGCTAATTACTTACCACTGAATGACTTCAAAAAGATTCCTAGTTTCCAACAATTGAGGTGGTTAATATGGCGCAATTACATTGACTACAAAAGAAATTCATCGGCAATTTTTCTAAAATTTTTGATCTACATAATTGGGGGATTGATTCTTGCGACTCCTTATATACATGTTACGAGGGATATCGACCAGCGTAGTATACAAAACGTTCAGGGTTTGATGTATTATATTGTGACTGAGACAATATTTACCTTTCATTACGCTGTGTTCTACACGTTTCCTAAAGAAATGCCACTTTTGTTACGCGATATGGCTAATGGACTCTATTATCCTCTGCCTTATTATGTCAGCAAAGTTGCGGTAATGGTGAGCTAATTTTTTTACGAAAGAGATTTTATCATAATTGTAACAAAGATGATTTTACAATTTTCGTATAAAAATAATTTTATGATAGCATTAACGATTTTTGTATTGTAGTTTTTCATTACTATATTGAATATGAATTTTTCCAGATACCAGGATCCATTATCCAACCGTTTATTTATTCAGCATTGATCTATTGTATCACAGGATTAAGAGGTGGATTAATAAGTTTTTTATATTTCGTTTTACCAGTTGTACTTGGAGCCATATCTGCCGGCGCCCTTGGTATTAACCAACCATTACTCTATTGTAATTATATTACTACTATAAATAATTATTCGCCACTCAACTATTAATTTATAAACAGGATGCTTGATGTCTGCATTGTTCGACTCTTTTGAAACTGCATCACTGTTATCAGTTTCTCTCGACTTTCTGACACTCATTTTCAGCGGAGTTTATCTCAATCTCGGGTAACCGCGTTCCTCATAATAATAATAATAATAATAATAATAATAATAATAATAATAATAATAATAATAATTTTTATCAATAACTACGAACTACAATTAACAAATTGATTTTTTTCCATGTTAAAGAAATCTACCAGCGCGTATATCATGGTTAAAATATATTTCACAATTCTACTACAGTACAGAAGCTGTTTCAGTGACTCAATGGCGCGAATATAATTATATAAGTATGTAAATATTCAAAGTATACTTAATTTATCAATTTTATAAAGTAATTCACTAATCAAATAATTATGTAAATAATTATACTGCCGCTAAATTTATCATTCTTGATTAAAAATAAACTATTTGCTCAAGATTGTTCGACAAACATTGATACACCGTGTATAGCAACTGGTGAACAAGTTATGGAAAATTTTGGATTTGCACCTGACAATTATTACATCGACTTGATGGGTCTACTCGCTATTTTCACTTTCAGCCATTTCGCAGGTTTTATGGCTATTTTCTACAGAAGTTTCAACGAGCCCGTTTATTGAATCTTGTTTTTATTTTTCAAGAAAATTTTGAGCAATAAACACACGGAAAAAATAGATACGAATTGTTAGTCGTGGATCGGAAATAAATACACTGACAAAAAGATTTTTTGATATTTTATAAATTTTATTAACTGTTAATAAATAATGTTTTAACATCAGACGATGTAATAAACATTAAATTAATAGTTAAAGAATATTTGTTTAGATCTTCGAATAAAAATTAAACTTTGATATTTTTTATGACCCCACAACTTCAATAGAAAATATAATTTTATTAGATCAGGTAGATTGACAATCTTCTTATTAAAAAAAAAAATAAATAAATAATGGTTGTAATAAACTACAGAATTTTTTTGCGGTGAAAAAATTATCAAAAAAATCACTCCAAAAAAATTATCAACTTTTAAGAAATTTTTCAATAAGTGAAAAGTTATTAAATTAAATAATTGTAAGCGCTATTATATAATACAGGACTGACTTTTCTGACCATCAAAATGATTCGTTGCAGCATAGGAAATATTACTATAAAAGACTTTGTTTATTTTTAACATACGAATGACTATGACGTATTAAACGGTAATTATTCGTATCTATTTTTAGCGTGTGTAGTACGTAAAATTAGTTAATTGTAAGTTAAACTCCATTTAATTATTTTTGTACCTCGTTATCTGTCGAAAAAAATACTTGCAAATGTTACTTTTCAAATGAAATAATTGTAATTAAAATTAAATCTATAAATATTACTAAATTTTGTTGTTTTTATTATTATTATCATTATTAATACTTTTTGTAATTAATGTTAACATTTTGCTTTAAAAACTTTTGGCAATGACAGCTGTAAATTTTCTTATCAATAAAAAAAACTTTAATTAATACTTCCTAAAAATAAAATGCAATTATTATTGAGTTTCGTAAGAGTTACAAAAAATAATAAAGATTCTTGATCATTGCTCAATTTTTTTGTTATTAGTGATTAACGATTTTAATAGACGTTAATTAATTAAGACCCCTTATTAGCGCAAAAAGAATTTTGTTTTTTTTCCTTTCTCGGAATTCCCATAAATTTTTTTATTTTTTCTAGTTTGCGAAATGTTTCATTGGTTAAAAAATACTTCAAAATCGACACGCGTTGCCACATAAATATTAGAATTCTGAACACATATCTACGATCTCAACTACAAATAAAAGAAAGCAATTATAACTTTCATGTATTAGATAAAGATATTTTTTGCTGAGATATAAATATGAGAGAATCAGATTCTAACCACTCAGTATTGTCAATTTTTCGACATTGCTATTTAAAAAAATAATAAAACTTTAACAAATTCTTTTACGATGGTCAGCTATCAAATAACAGCGTTTATTTCACTAGCATTGGTCTATACTTGTTCCAATGCTCTTAGATTTGAAGCCGTAAGTATTAACTAATAATTTCAATAATTTATAATTTTTTTTTCCAATTAAAAATGGTGCATCAGATAGAAACTGCTTTTAATATTTTCAAAATTACTTGAATAATTTATTCAAAAATTACGTCAGTAATTAATATTTATTCACGATTAAATGTATAAATCATTGGACCGAGTATTTTATTGTCATACCAATCAGATTGCTTATTTATAACATTACACTGAAAAATAAAGTTTTCTGCTCTGTACGATACGATATTGCTACTGTTGCGATACACACGTCGCTGTCTATTGAGGATAGTGAGGTTAGAAGAACTCCCGAATCGATTGCGATGGTTGCTATCCAGACTGCTACTCGTAGCTATACGGATTGTACCTGTAACGATAGTCTCGTTACAATACAGAAGATGGTGCCGAGCAGATAACTTTTTTTTCAGTGCTCATTTTTTTATCGGGTCTATTATTTTTTAATAAAATAATTTAAACCACGCTCTGTTATACATTGAACTTCATATTATTTCACACTTGTCTTAAATACATCCCACGCCCAACACATTTGGCTGTCATATTATCATAATAACTTTACGTAAACAAAATTCGTCTTGTAAAAATAAAATTAATGTAGCGTTGTATCAGGAAGACCTTGATATTAGCCTTCAGACATTTAAAGTCTTGTCAGAATAAAAACAGAGCAATCTCCCTAAAACTGAATTAGTGAAAATTCGTCAAATAAGTGAATATTCACTTAACTTAAGTGCCAATCGAGCCACTTTTTCAAGTCAGTGGCTTGGTTCTCACTTAAATAAGTGAATATTCACTTATTCATGTTTAGAGAGATAATATTCAATAAAATAAATGTTCCATCAATTATTCGGAAAAATAACGTCATTAATGTTGTATCATTAATTTCTTTCAATGTTTTTTTATTTACAGCCAAAATGCATTATTCACAGTTATTGTGGAAAAGATAATGCGATAGTGAAACTTGTTCCACTGAAACCATTCAACGGATTAATTGGCACGGACGTTGAGAGCCCAGAGTGTAAACGTCGATTCACATCTAATGAGAAATCGATTACATTCGTTGTAGACTTCGAAAATTGTACATTAGAATCAGATAAATTTAAGCTCAATGTTTACAACCCTATGATGTTAACAAAAGATTTTGGGTTCCTTGGACCACCTGTTATATCTAAACAAGTCTTTTGTAAACAGGCGGACTACGAGTAACATTGATTTTTGTAAAATCTCAAAAATCGATTCCATGAGTAAAAAAATAAAAAGAAATGAATAGATCATTACACAAATTTTTATTATGCACCTCAATAACACCCAATAACGACAAATTGGTGACTTAGCAGGAACATAACGTCATTTTCAATATGGCGGCGATTTTATTTAAGCACCATCTGACGTTAATTTTATAATTTTATTTTAATTCAACAGAATGTGTCCTTGCTAACAATTTTATTATATCAATTGAAGATTATATTTTTTTTTTCGAGCTTAAACAATTTTTAATTGGATGTAAAAGAACAATTAAAAGCTAAAAATAATTTTTCGTAAATCACTTTAATTTTTTTTACACAAAAACTTTTTCGATTTAAACATTTTATAAATTACTTATTTACTTTATAAACGTATGTCTTTTGTATTACGAAATAGTTTGACGTCAAATTGATATCGAATAAATTATTAACAGCTGATAAATCTGATAATTCATCGATCATTGTTAGCAGTAATTAATTTTAAATTCGATTGATTAGCCATCGTACGTCTAATATAAAATGCATCTCATTGAATTAAAGAGATATTGAACTGCAATCAGAGAATTGAATTCATTTAGCAAAAAATTTTCTGTCTACTCATTCTTAATAATTTGTCAATTAAATATTTTAAAAATAAATTCAATTATTTATTTTGAAAATTACGATTTGAGTATGAATTACTTATAAATTCATCATGTTAGATCAATATCAATAATGATTAATCGACTGTAAATTTCATGAATTTATTATGCTATATCTGGAATACTTTTTAAAGCGTGATTAACATTTTATAAAAATGCTCATTTATTACCTTTTTACAACCAAAATATTTATTTTCAATTGAATTTTTTTTTTGTTATGGTAATGCATCATAACCGCATTTGTTTAATCATTATAGTCACCCAAACAGCTGTACTGAAGATTAAACGAAAATAAACAAACGAAGATAACAAAAGAGTTTTATGTTAAAAGAGTGGGGTTTTTAATTTTATGTATATATATGCGAAGAGATCGGAAGAAATTAATTCAGTTCGCTTCGAAACAGTTTAATCGAAACAAACTTGTTAAATATAAAATATAAAATCAAAATGGTTAAGTTATACTTTCTTGCATTGGCTGCGGTAGTTTTAGTTCTTGCTCCGTCAGATGTCTCTGCTATCGTAAGTCATTGAAACAATCCATATATTTTATTTTTTGTGTAATTTATATTAAAATTCAAATCTACACTGAAAGAAAAAATTTCTTTTGAAAAAAATCGGCATTGTTGTGATAAGAAGTTTTCAAAAAAAAAGTTTCTGCTCTGTACGATACGATATTGCTACTGTTACGATACACACATAGCTATCTAGAGGAGAGTGAGATTAGGAAAATTATATACTAACGGTAGTAATAGTATCATGAATGGTACTCGAATAGATTGTGACAATCGCTATCTAGACTGCTACTTGTAACTACACGGATTCTTCCCGTAACGATTCTAATTGTAATACAGTAGTACATACTTCTATGTAGATTGTAGTAGGGACAATCTTCATTGAACAGTGTTCCATCTTGGATTGAACTGAGTTAAACGAAGATTGTCCCCACTACAATCTACATAGAATTAGTTACCATCTGTACATTTTTTCACAATAGTGGAACTAGGTTCCATCCGACATGGAAACCAGTTAAATGTTGTTTTTTCCGTGTGCTGAGCAGAAAACTTTTTTTTCAGCGTACTTTTCAAATTATCTCTGCAATGCAATTCTTGACTTTTTAGTCTAACAAAAAAATTAATAATCAATAATTATTTACAGAGTAATTTCCACTACAAATGTAATGGAGGAAATATTCTAGTAAGTTTCACTCCTTCGCTCGATCACTCTGGAACAGTGACCGTCGTGGGCACTAGCAATTCAGCTTGTACAGTAGCGTTCAAAGTGAATGAACCTTTTCAACATACCTTCAACGCGAAACAATGTGGAGGTCCAGCCATGAAGCTAAAAGTTATGGAATCCCAGCTAATAGTTCACGGTGGATCAACTTCTTCATCATCTTCATCTTCAACCCAAACTGTTAACTGCTAATTTCTTCTGACTAATATTCTTTGTAATTATTTTATCAAATTAAATTTATTAATTTGTTTATTTGCTCCAGAAGTTGTATTGTAAAATAGATATCTAGTAATTGATGGTTAAATATTATATGTATACTTATTAATTTTCTTTCGAAATATATGATTATTTAATATTACATGAAATTGAATGTTTTTTTAAGAGACGGAGATGTTAGGCCTGAAATAGCGTCAGTGAAGAAAATATATTTGCAGATGTTTTGATAAGTGGAGATTAAAAATATTTCAATTTAAAATTAAATGTTATCATTAAATTTGTTAATAAGATAACAAATTAGCCGACAAATTTCAAAAGTAAATTGTTTATTCAATAATGATTTAATACATTTTAATTTAAAAATCCATTTCATTAAAATTTCTTACTTATTATTTAATAAAATGAATTTAAAAAAAAAAATGTTCAAATTGTTCTTTCGATAAAAATTTAAAATTAGTGGAAATAATATTTTTCATTTAAAATAAAATAAAAATTTTATTATTGAAATCAAAGCATAAAAATTTTAAATGTTCTCCTCCCAACTTGTTCGACAGCTGTGTATATCTAAATTTTTTCGTCATTATGTTGAATTAACATCTTCCATGTTACCAATTATCACTTAAATTTATCGAATTGTAATAATTTTTTTAATCAATCGTTTTTCCACACATTATTCGTACAAACAATTTTTTCTGAGTGAACATATTTTTTAACCAAGGGATCTACGCTTTATGATTTACATTGAGTTTATCTCTACAAAATTTGTCAAATCATTAATTTTGATGGCTCTTTTTTAATTATAAAGTACATGTTTTTCGTATTTTGGTATGTTTTATAAATTGTTTGCGTTCAGCCTGAAATATTAAAAAAATCTTATTTTTTTTGTACTGATTGGATATATATGAGTCTGAAAAAACATTATGCAAGAACATGAGTGAAAATTCAGTATTTATAATTATTAATAATTTTATATTTAAAGTAAACTAACACATTATATTGTTTTTAATAAATCCCGTGCTATATTCATAAGACAGACATAAAAATACCTAAGAATTTCGATAAAATTTGAATTTAGAAACAAAAAAAAATTGAGAACTCGGAAGAAATATTAATTTATCTTCATTTTTCAAGTAGTAAATTAAAATAATTGAATCAAATAAAATGTTTTGGATAAATACTGTGGTCTATTGTTCACTCCCCTGCCTTTTTATAGTTTGGGAGTAGGATGGACACATTTCGGTCTATAAATATAAAACTAAATTCATAATAAATTTAGTTTTGTGTTAATTCAGTGTGAAGAAATAAATTTACTTATTAAGATGTTGTACATAATATTAAAGTACGCAATATAATTTAATTGAAAAAATGAATACTTTGTTAGTTCTACTTGCTGCAACGATTGCTATATTGACTGATAAATCTACAGTAGCACCGCCTTCAGTAAGTAAATAATAAATAAGGATCAAATCTGTACAATTTCTCAATTTAAAACTTCAATTATAAAATGATAAATTCTTTGTACGATATTTTTTTTAGTCAGATGAGCGTATGACAGTTGAGTGTATGGCCAGAAATGTGAAGATGAAATTTACACCAGCTAAACACTTCCAAGCAAAACTAGGCATTGAGATGAATTTCAACAAGATAGGTTGTTTCGAATATGGTGATCCTGGCAAAGAAGTTGCGCTTGTTAACTTCAAACATTGCACCAACAAAAATCATACATTCGAACTGCGTATAGTCGAGAAAGACAAGGGTTCGGAACATGATCCTGATTTCAAGAAAAAGAAGGCTACTCGCGTCTCATATGCTACAATAACATGTCCACCGTTTCCAAAAATACCAGCTGATACGCGTTTCGGTAAATGTCCTGGGTATATCGCCAGGGTTAATGGCTGGGCAAAGTGTTTCGAATCCGAATAAGTATTGAATAATTAATAATTGCATTATTGAATAAACTTGCAATTTTACGAACGGAATAAATGCATTTTTTTCTGATTGTTTTTTAATTAATGGAATATAAATTCAAATTCATGAAGCATTGTTACAATTTATTGTTTTTTATTTTTTTTTTTTAATAAATATTGTTTGAACATAATATTAATACATTAATTTAATTAACCTAGTGTTGTTTAATTTTTAGAGTAACATAAAGTTAAATTTTAAATTTGAACGAATCATGATTTGCAAGCCTGATGATAATTGCTTGTTCTGTTTTATCATTCGAATGCCGATAAGACAGAATTTCATACTCTGATATTAACATGCATTTGTGTGTTGACATCGAAGTGTCTTCTAAATTGATATCAATGCGATGGCAGAGTAATTAAAACTAAATTCAGTTAATGTATTATTTACATTTTGTAAGTTAGTATACCTCTTGATAGCCAGCCCCTTTTTTAGAAAGTAGTAGACTTCCAGCAATTACGGTTGACTTAACATCAAGTTGGCGGTAATTCTTCACTAAATAACAGTTGTCAGCAAATTGACGAAAATCTACGGCCGCAACTTGAATTCAAGTAAACAATCAAGCTTGTAGTTAAATTTTCTTTTAACTTTACTAAAATTTGAGTGAAATACTTGTATGTACAGTAAGTCTGGACGTCTATTTGCAGAGTACCTTATAGCTAACTTAATTGAAACCGCTTGCTTTGCCAACTCTTTCCGTTAAGTTTGCTTCAAATTGCGGCCGTAGATTGACAGCAAGTTTCAGGTAAGGTGGCTATCAGGGCACTATCTGAGTAATCAAGTTTCATTATCGTAAGTGAACCTTCTGACGGTAGATAAACTACTATCCGTTTCCCCACAGTTTCGGTTGATGATAATCCACTCCAAGAATTTTTAATGTTACCATATAACTTACCATTACATTTTAACGGTTTTAAATGATAATAACTCCAAATGATAACATTGCGACGGTGTTAACTCTATTTCAAAATCGCTACCATGTGTTCGAATTTTTTATCTTCGGCAAGTAGAAATCTTCATCATTTATTTTTGTTTTAACTATAGAAAAATCGCAAGTTAAAAACTTCGGTTGCATTCGATTATTATTTTAACTCCGAAATTTTACAGTTTCAATTTAAAATAAAATAAACAACAATAACTTGAAAGATTCATTAATTAAATTAAAAAAACAATACCTTTATTAAATGAACCACTTATTTTTAAAATAAAGCGCAAATTAAATATCTTAAATTATTTATCAAATTAAATAAAATATGTAATTTTCACAACCTTGCTTGAAAATTGTTTTCTTAAATATTGACAAATAAAAATTTCTAAAATTATTTCGATACCGAAATATCATTAAATAATCTCTTTTAACTCGATTAAAATAAAGTCTTAATACTAATGAGTAATTGTGATCAAAATTAACATTTAATATTAATATCTCATATTGAACGTACATAAAAATTAATGAAATTAATTAAAGGTAAAATTGAGCCATATATAATGACCAAATCTCTACAACAATGAAATAAAGTTTGACCTGCGAAAATGTTAATCATTGAAAAAGACAGACTATTAAAACAAATATTTTTTTTTATTTAGTTCATAGTATTTTCCTCTCATCCTCCATCTAAAGTCTTCTGGTACTCAATTGGACACGGGCACATATAAGATATAAGTATCTAAAAAATAAAAATGAACCAAAAATTGGAAGTGGGCCCGGCTTTGTTGATCCAAGGCAATAATTCTAGCCTGCGAAGAGTTTTTTCTCGCCCTACTCATTGAAGGTATACGATTGACGATAGACAGCAATAATAATAAAGCTGTACATATAAAGTATAATTGTTGAATAAAGACGGTGTGATGATAATTATAGATCTCAGATCGATGAATAGTTTTATGAGAAAGGTCTCTGCCAGTGTTCAGTCTTCAGTGTAGTAAAAGCCAAATTTAATCAATACCTTAAGTTAAGTTGAGTTAAATTAATAGTTTTTTATTCAATGTGTACAACAGAAGATAAAATTTTAACGATTATAAAATGCCCATGAGCCCCGACTATTACTTTATAACTTCGGAGATCCTTTTTTGCGATTTCATACTGAAAACTTCATATGTCGGCAAGGGCTTTCTCGATTCTCGTATTTGGGATTCCAGATTAAGAGATATCATTCTCTTTACTGTACACCACACTTTTTACGCATAAATACACAAAATATACCAAATAAATCGATGATTTTAAGAATCGACTTTCGGTTTTCAGAAAAATTTTTACTTAATTATCACTTGCTACCAATTCAATCAGAAAATTTTTCAAGCTTCGTTAATATCCATTAATATTCATGGAAATATAAATTGCTTCTAATCAAAGAATCGATTAAGAAAGTGTTGACTTCATCAAATTATTTTTAATGTTTATTATTTGATCGACTATTTAAAAAATAGAAAGCCACCGGGAAGATAGACCACCGAAGAACTTTACTCATTGATAATCAACCGTTACACGTTGCACCATATCATGGCTTGTTGAAGAGAAATTAAAATATTGAGGAAAAACATCTCAATGTTCGTACTGGTTCGTAATGATCAATATATTGAGAATAAGATTTAAATGACGTTCTAATTTTTTTTAACTAATGAAGATTTGAGATATGTACTTGAAAATATTTTTAAAAAATTTTTATAAAACAATATTTTTCATGCATAGAAAAAAATTTCGATTGAACGGGTGAAAAGAACACTTTTTTAACTCAAAAATATTTTTAGGTAAGTCAAGATAATTAAACTCATTTATAAATTATGTTTTTGATTCAAAAATTCTTCTCTTAAATCAAGTTGATTTTTTTGTGAGTGTAGACTTTACCCAATAATTTCTTAGCACGGTGAAATTCATTTAAGATATTACCAAGTTTTTCGAAGAATAAAAAAAATAATGGGATATTTATCATTATTTCGTGTTATCAAAAATAAGTCTTAAATATTTTTAAGAAAGGGTCCAAGAAAAAAAAAATTTTTTTAATTGTATT